CCCATTGAGCTTTCCCGAAGGCGCAACAAACTCCACTTGGCTGTGGTTGAAAAATATGTACCCAAAATGGGTTGCCCTGGTAAATGGAAACATGGACTAAAACCTGCGGTCCACTTCCTGGTGGTTGAATTTTGGCCCATACCATACCATACCATACCATACCCACCATACCATACCCACCATACCATACCATACCATACCACACCATACCCACCATACCATACGATGCCATACCATACCCACTTGTCTCTCACAATGCGCAAGCTATGAGTCATTGCGGCCAGGAGGCAGACTTGGCCTTCGCCTCGCAGTGCCACTCTAACCCCGATAGCCGGTCTCTGAGAATCCGGTGCTTTGCCGTTTGCCTTTGTTGTCAACACATGGTTTGCCTTTGTTCATGGCTCTTTATGCGCCAATTTGTGGAAGACGCGGTTTTCTAAATCAAAACATATGCACTCAACCAGTTCTTGTGCGGCAGAAGGCACGTGTTGTCAGTCTTCCTGATTTCAGCTGGCTTCGAATCGTCCAAAGTTGTCTACGGAAGCCGCACAAATGCATAGCGCAGTTATTTATTGAGACTGCCAGTGGAATGGAAACTATGTGTTTGGAGTTGTTACGCTTTAGATGCACGTCTGAGCAGGATATCCACGTGAGCAAAACCACGCACCCATTGAAGGTTCGATAGACAGTCCAGTTTCCAAAAAGGATCAACGAGCTAAAATCACTATTCACTCCTCTCAGGAGAAAGGACAGAGTCTTTCCTGAGCTGCCCGCGTTTGGCCCGCGGGAACAAGGACACCCTCTGTTGCTGTTCCTGCTTGCGGCAGGGAACATCGGGGAACCAACCAGAGCAAGTCAAAAAAGTGCCACAGAACAACGGGAGGTAGCCACGTACGAACCAAATTGATCAGCGACCGACAGCCATGCCAAACACATGAGTTGTCAGGAAATCATCCAATTTCGCACTTGAAGCATCTTCCAGGCTGGATCTCTGATCTCTTCGATGTTTAATGTCAATATTGTTGTTGTTTTGCGAGGTGCACAGTCGGATGAGGACAAAGGCTAAGCATATCAAGTACATTGCCACTTATCAACCTGGTGGGCCAACAGCCACAAGACGAGCAAACGGAAGGACAAGACGCAGCACGAGGCCAAACAAAGCTGAGTGGACCTGCAACACACTTTGCTCCGACGTTGCCCATCTTGCCCCTTTGTGCAGCACAGCGGCTCTGGGCGAAGCCTTTCCTGAGACTTGCAACCAACTCGAACACACACACAGAGACATAAAAACGCAGAGACACAGAGGCACACACAGACACACACACACACAAATACATACACACACACAGACACTCTCTACACTGCTCAGAGGGCACCAGTCGAGGCATGATTAAGTTTGGGATTCAGCGGTGTACAAAGATCTATACCACTACAATGCAGCAGCCCTGGAAGCTAGTCTTGATGTGGAGAGTATATCATGCACTGGAAAGGCTGACCTTTTAACCAATCCTTGTTTAAGTTGGAATGTAAAGAGCCCTGAAGACGGCAAAGGGATCCTGCAGTACAGCAGCAAACACCACAAACTGTGCAATTAATGCACCACATCACAAGATATCATAAGGCACTTCAAGTGCACCACTGCTGTTGGGGCTGGGGTAGTCGAACGTCTAGTCGTTCAACTAGCTAGCCTAGCTTGCAATACGTTTCTGCAAAGTGATCTGCAAGGATACAAAACATGTCAAAGCCTTTTGAGAAAGTGTCAAAGCAAAAATATCCGAAGCCAAGTGGCCAGTATCTTCATCCGAGTACTCGTAGGAGGAGTAGCTGCCTGCAAACTTCTGACTCGCTGAGGGTCAGATTGTGGCTGACATTGGTTCGCATGGATCTGGAAGGGAAAGCCATCTAGAGCGGTCGATTCCTCAATTTCTAAGCTTGACAACACTAGCTTGGGCAACTGAATGAGCGGGTTGAAGGATAAGCGGGTGGTGGGGTGGAACCCTGACAGTAGACGCCACATACGGGACAACAGTTAGTTCTCATTAATTCCCCACCTTATTTTGTTGGCGGTTGAACAGAATCATAGAATGCTGGGCGTGCAACAGCTTTGGTTCAGCCAACCGTCTCCCCGGCAATGTGGTGTGCTGCAACGTATGGGCCTTGGCCTTGGATTGTTTGGGGGCAAACTTTGCAATGTTGTTCAGCTTAGAGACAAACCAGGCGGAAGCGAGCTCGGAAGGGCTACTTCTTACTTAAGCGTGTTTGGAAGCTGAAATATGGCTAAGCGGGTTCAGGGGCACGTTCGACCCTATCTTCCAGACAAATAGGCTTCAAGCGGTTTGCAGGGAGGATGCTGGAAACTCTACATATAAGCGGGGTGCGCGGGTGAGTCAACAACTAGGCGGTCTCAGCGGCTGAAAATTGCGTGAACCATGGCGCAGGGAAAATTTGCAAGAAAGCGGTGAACGCCATTGCGTTGCTTGCAGCCACAGGGAATGCGTAGAACACATCCTCCATGCCGTGCGGATGGGAACTAACATGGCTGCTGCATTCCTAGAATTGCAAATGCCCAACACAAAGGCGGGAAACCTATGTTCACAAACCCCCCGGTATCGTGTCTCGTTTTGTGACCCGGGCGATGGCTGCAACGGCATTGCTTGCCCCCTGCAGCACTGCAAAGCACACAACAAGCAAGCAATGGCATTGCACCAAAGCAGAGGCAAAGCCGCAAAGAAATGCGCAAGCAACCATAAACCCTGCTCTATGAAAGCTGAAGAATTGATTACCATGAAACATCAGGTGAGTTAAAACAACCACTACATGCCAAGGTTGCTGTGTCGGCTGCTCCGGCCGCGCGGCGTATACCTGGGTTGTTGGAGAAGTGGGACTTTTGCTCGGGGAGACTTGGCTTCAGACCCCGAGTACAGTAGGTTTTGGGGTAGCTTGAAAAAGACGAGAAGAAACCCACCATGTTGAGGAGTCACTGGATTTCCCTTTGAAAAGCTTCAATTTACTGGTGGACTGGTGGGTCCCAATCAAAATGCCATGGGAGGCTCCGTCTCAGAAGAAGAAACTCCTCGCGTCAACAGCCGCTACCGTGGTCTGTGGGGGGAGGCGGAGCCCATGACCGGGCTTAGCATTGAACCCCCTAGAGGCCGCCAAGGGTACAGGATGTGTTCCGCTCTATGATGAAACTTTGCACAGTGATCCCCTAAAGGAATCTAAATAGGAGTGTGTACATACCATCCATATATATATATATATTATACAAATTACTGTATATGTAACGTAAAGTTCCATTTGTGTTTCCGAGGGTGCACTGTTTCAGGCTGGTGGTAAGGGAAGGACTGGTCCAAACTAACAGTGGAACACGTTGGATCAGTTTGCTTGATTGGAGTTTCGCTTGAGATCTACCATGGGTCCCCATTTCTAAAACAAGCCAAGGGGCTACCGTACATCAAAACCCAGAAACTCGCAATGTGGCTTACAATACCCTATGTTTCCACCACGACTAAGACGAGCAGATCAAACCGGTGATTCCAATCAGCGTGTATATGACGTACTTTGCAATAGGCATTGCACTCGGCAATTATCCAACTTATGGAGCTGCGGCATCTAATCTGCCGCGCGGCGAGTAGGACGAGTCCTCCGATTTGCCGCGCGCGCGCGCCTTCGACATGGCATCTGGCCATTAGCCGGATAGCATACTCTGGACGCGCGAGTCTTCGGTGCGTATCGGAGGTGTCTGTTGGAGATGTCTAGGCTACACCCGACTATGAACAGACCTGGGCTGATGAAACTCCCCCAACTGTCTAAGGCATTTGTTTTTTTTTTCCTGGGATCAGGGACAGAAATGGCAATAAGTTGTATGGACTGGCCTAAGTAAATTGTTGCACACTGCTATTCGTTGGCCATGCCATACATCTTGCACTTCAGATTTGCACTCATTCGTCTGGGGACCAAATCCTCGCTTGTCCAAAAGGGCCTTAGGAACATATAATACCTGCAAGCCCACCATGTTGAAAGGAACCGCGCTGACGATGAAGCAAACCAGAAGTTGACTTTGCCAAAGTGTGGCCATGGCTTACATCTCTTGCTGACCTGCACATCAAACTTCGTCATGTTCAAAAGGACATTGTCTAAGCCAAAGGCAAGAGGGCGAGCGCGCCCAGGCGACTCTCTGTGGGAAAGATCAGGTCTCTATATGGGTCCTTAACTGGTGCATTCCCAGTTGGTCCGACTATTCAACAATTTATAGCAATGTCTGACCAAAACTGTGCAACTGCAAGATGGCGCTCAACAGCAGAGATCAACCTTTCTGGTCAGACCTGAAAGACTTTGGAAGAGTCTCTACCTTCCAAAAGTCAAACGAACAGGTGGCGCGTATAAATGGCGTGTGGCACAGCAACGTAGTAAGCGCGACAACAAACGGTTGGACTTAATGTGTGAGTACATTGGGCAGAACATGGCAGAAACAAAACCAGCAAGAAATGTTATGCCACCGACCCAGAAGCAAGTAAAGCATCACTGTGCTCAGCGACCCCAAATCCAAATGCAGCTCCAAAAACGGAACTAAACCATGACGCGAACACCGGGCCCAAAAAAGCGGCCCGGACCTGACATATGCTGGCAAATGATCTTCAGGAGAGGTCGGCCGAATCTCAGGCCCTCCAAAACCAAAAGTGCAGAACCTCTCATTTGCCTGCAAGGAAAGCTGCCTAAGCCGAGCTCAAAAGTACTTTGAGAACTTGGACATCACTTGCAGGCGACATCTTTACCCATGACTGTGGAACCCCATGAAAAGGCCGACAAAATAGGCGCTCTCCATTCCTGCAAACGGTTGGGTTGCCCGGCCTGAGAAGAGGGGGTCCAAGAAGTGAGGCACGAATTCGATTCGCTTTTCCAGCAAGGCTCGCCATGCTTCTGTGACCCCTTCAGGAAGTGCTTTGGGTGGCTGGCATGTCCCTTTGCAGAGAAGTATACGTACAAACCAAACCGCCGTGTCATTCTTCACCCAAGAAAAAGGCAGCGAGCAAAAATTAATCGCCGCTTGTAAGTCTCCCGGAAAAGGCATCCAGCGGATCCTCCATCCAGCGTACCAGGACCCCATTGGTTCAATACCAACCGGTGCACCATCCGGCACCCACCCGGTGTTTTCAGGGTGCAAAAACCAAGGGCTCCGCAAATGTCCAACACATCTGGGCACGTGCCCGCCACAGGGAAGAACTGTCATTGGTGCTCTCTAGGCAAATACACAGTTGGTAAGCTATCCAAGTCCCTGTCTTTGCGACACATCCCTTCATTCATGGCCTGTGGACCACTCACACCCAGTTCAGCTCCTAAGCTTGGTACTCTCTAGACTTGTGACATCGACAACAAAGCAAACACAAACGCAGAAAAATGGAGTCTCTCAGGGGCGGTCAGAATTGTAAATCAAAATGACTTGCTAATCTTGCCAAGTGTCCTGACAGGTAACTGTCAAACAGGGAAACAAAGTCAACTGCTTGAGGAAGCCCTACATGTCACCTTTACCAAACAAGGATCATGCCAAGAGGAAACTCGTTTCGACTTGAGCAAAAGGATTGAAGTCGAAGCACCGAGCACATCGAGTGACCCCGTTCCGTCGCTTCCTGCTGAGACCACCCGGCCCCTTCTGCCAAGCACAGCCCACGGAGCTGTAGCAGAACGCACTCGCCTCTGGCCTGGCGAGAGTCCCCATGTGTCCTGTGGATGTCCTTTAGGTTTCCCTAAGTACCCAAAGGGGTCCAACTTTCTGAACACTCGAACTGGAGGTTTAAAACAAGTGGAACAATTCTACACTCACCCGCCCCCCGATTGGGCAGCCGTAAAAGCACTTGCATGATGGGTGAGGTTGCAAACCCCCTTGCAGGTTCTTGCATAGCGGGATCAAACCCAATGTCCGCCTATTTAAAGGAATGGCAAATCTCAACACAAAATGAACTGAGAATGAGTCTGGCTCGTTCAACCGGCTGCAAAGTATTTCAAGTTCCTCCCCCATGGCATCCAAAGAATCATGTATCTCCCGCGCGCACATCGAGCCATCAGGACTCCCCCAGATTCCCCCAGCCCTCGGCCTGGTGCTGTTGCAATCGCTGTCTCGACCACTGGAGCACCACACCTCCCGGCTGCATGGCAGCAATCGCTCGAGAAAGCTTTGGCCCAAGGATTCTGCAGATCAAGGAGGTGTCCCATGGATTTTGCAGATCAAGGAGGTGTCCCATGGTTCTTGGAAAGAAGCTTATCAAACAGGATTGCCCAAAACACCACCATTTCCTGTACAAACGGGTGATTCCAGGCTCCAAATGAAGAGGATGAGCTGTCAGAGCCTCCTTTTGTTCGATGATTTATTGCATGTAGCTTCCCACTGAAAGTGGCCTAGACAAGGCACAACTTGTTTAGACACACAGCCACATCCCTCCAAGCACTGCCCGCCTGTCGCAGGGACACGCCGCTGCCACAGAGGTTAGAGCAAGATGACCTGGGGAGAAAAATGCTCCGCCGCTGTTTCGGCCAAAGCAAAAAGCAATGGGGGGATGTGCTCGGGACATCACTGTCCTCAGTGGAACAAAAGTGTAAATTGGGCCGCTTTCCCTGTTTGTCAACTTTCGTCTAACCGATGGCTTGGATTGGCGGCTTGGTGGTTAGGTTCCCATCTAACCCCTACAAGAACCAGGAGTTCAAGTGCCCAAACCACCAATCCAATCCACAAACTAAGGGGTACCTGAGTTTACCAAAACCAGGCTGACTTTCCTACTGAGACAAAAGCCATATGAGCCAGCGTTTCCAACCCCCCGTCGGCGGGTCGCTTTCCGCGTTTTACCAAGCACGGGACTGAAGCCTTGCCCATCTCTAATGTCCACCAGACCAAACTATGAGCACCATCAGCAAGGCAGATACCCTCTTAAACCCGAATGTTGTTGGCAAGCTTAAACAAGGGTATCCTAAACGCTGAACACGCACAAATCAGAAATCTCCCGCAAAAGGTGCAGCGCCAAGACAAAGCAATTACCCGCATTGGGCCCCCCTCCTCAAGACTTTGCTGTAACTGGTAGGGTGCAACGTGCAACACCAACAAGTAGGGGCAGCATGGGGCAGCCACCAGAGACTTTGTTTCTGAAGTAGCAGCATGCGCTGACCCTTCAAGAGGCTTCACCACCCTCACCTCTCAGCTTCGCACCACTCCGAAGTCTGCCAGCTGCAGCTCGCCGTCTCGTAGCCTCGGTCAACGCGAAAAAGCTCTCGGGCGACGACTGCGTGCTCTGTCCGAAGCGGGACGGCCATGTCTTTGCACCGGCATCCGGCAGCGGCCAGCTTCGTGGGGCAGCGGCAAGTCTGAGTTGTTTCGTGTTTATGTGTGGCTAGTGGGCAGCAAGTCGCGAGCAGCGAAATGATGAACCATAAGCAGCAGGCCCTCGCAACAGCGGCTACTGGCAGCCTTGAACCAGGCTCGGGGGGGGGTGGGAAGTGCGCGCGCCACTTAGAGTGTGCTTGCAGGCAGATGCGACGGTGATGCATTGTAGGCGCGGTCCCCTAAAAGAGGACACTTCATGCAGCAAGCAAAGCTTTCGAACATCTTCACAAACATATCGGGAATAATCTAGCAAACAAATCAACCAAGGGGTGCACAGCCCGAATCTGGAAACTCTGCATCTCATTCATTTGCTCCCCGTGTTTCAGCTTTTGACTCACATTCTTGGGGAACCCTTAGTAGATTCAACCAGATCAGCGTTTGACTTCAGTATGCAATCAGACCCAAGCCTAGAAGCTGCCATTTGAGTCCTTGGCAAACCTCACTGCAGTTCCCTTGACGTGGGACACCCGATGAACTACCCTCATTTCAAGACAAAGGATTACCGACACTGAACATAATAGCGAGACTTTGGTATTATAGGGTGTTGTTATTCTATGCATTCGAACACATCATGCATACATCATAATGTTCGTGTGGCCTAAGGAACTCAGCATGAGTTCCTGGTCACGCGTACAGCAACTGCAGGAGATGCCAACACTTGGACGCAGCTATGAGAAGCAACTGTTCATGCTGCAGGCTAATCCGACTCCCTTTCTTTGCAAAGCGGAGGTGCACGGGATGAGTGGCAAAGAAATCGTTGCCATTGCATCTGAGTGTGTGGTGATGCCGGAGACGTCATCATTTGCTCCCCTATCTCGTTCCGACTGGCACTAGCTGGTCTGAAAACAGCTCCAGCCGGCTATACGCACGGAGCGCAAAAAGAAGCACGGCGCTCGCGTCAGCGTGTCTAGTTTGAGGGTACCCTGTTTGGGGTTGCCTTTGAACGCACTATGTCGAACAGAAGACCAGCTCCAGGGTCCGGGCAGTACTGCAGCAGCGAAGGTGAGGGCGAGGGACCTCCAAAAGGCTGTATGGGGACCCAGGACGCAGGGGATCCTCTCAAGGATCTCGAGGAACCTATACTCTGGGATTGGTTGCATTGGTCTGAACAGCCAGCAGCTAATTGGATTCCTTTTATGTCTCTTGGAACCTGATACGATTGAAATCATATTGAAAGTTGAAATGTTCGGGTGGCAAGGGCCCAGCAGGACAACTTGAGAAAACCAAAGCGCTCCTTTTGTCAGACACCGTCTCCCCTCTTGGACATGGGGCTGCCATCTGGCTTTCTTCTCGTCCGTAAAAGACGAGCTGCATGGGTAAGGCGGAAACTGCGCGGCTCAAAGTTAGGCAGAGAACCTTGAGAGTTCACTTCACCTGCAGCTAGCTTTCCCCGCACATTGAGGCAGTGCTTTTGCCACTTTGTGTTGGCTTCCTCAAACGCTTGCCCTTGCTTGTGAAGTTCGATGGAACTGCCACTTGTGTCGTGCACATGGAAATGGCGCAAGGTTAAGCTACCAAGTGTTGTTTGTGGTTTTGGAAGGGTCCCCTTGCTGGACAGCTTTCAGTGGGAGCCAAAAAGCAACCCGAAGCCCGCTTTCGGAGTGGGGGCGGGTCCCATAGAGTACATGTTGCAGCCAAGAGCCCTAAAAAACCAAACCAAACCCTACATGAAGGAGGTTCCCTAAAACACCAAGCAACCAAACACCAAGAAACCAAACCCTAAAACACCAAACCCTAAAACACCATAAGTGTCCATCATATGGGGGGGTCCCCTGCTTCAAGACGTGCGGGGCCCATGTAGGCGTCCGCACAAAGGGAGGCATCCGCAGCCTCGCATGCCACCTCGCGAGTCCTGAGGTCCAACATCCACGGGCCACTTAGGATAGTTTCACCAATGTGAATGTGCAGATATATACACATGTATGTATCAACAGGTGTGTAGATATACATAAATAAATTATATATAAAAATATATATTAATTGGTATATATATACACATACATATATAGTATATATGTATGTATGTAATGTAATGTAGTGCAATATAATGTAATGCAATGCAATGTAATGTAATGTTATGTAGTGTAGTGTAATGCAATGCAATGTTAGTTATATGCATGTATGCAGGTATGTATGTATGCATGGACGTATATCTCAAACAAACCTCAGGGTGGTGTACATCTGCCAGCATCAATACATGACATATAATGAGCATCCTGAGCCTTACGAGCTAACAAGCTGGTGCTAAAAACCACATGCTTCAAATTAACGTGTGGTGCAAAGGCTTCCTAAAGATGCTGGCCTTTTCAAGCGGGCGGTTGCCCTTCAAACAATCCAGCACTCGACGCTTGCAATCCCTTACTTTCCGACCACCCTTGTCTAGACATCCTCCGTGCATCACGATTTTGATGGCAAGCCTATGAAGTATCTAAAGAAGTTGTATTACTTTGCATCAGATGGAATTGTTCTTTGCACCACACGCTTTATATTAGAGGAGGACCGACCCAAGCCACACCCAGCAGTGGGTCAGCCACTCAGAAGCTATACCATTTCAGATATAAGCAAACACAAGGGAAACTGTCCAAGTCGCAGGACTCAGTGATCCTCCAACATGCCTCTATCGGACAAGCAAAAGTGATGCATTACCTCGGGTGCTCCCGCCACATGGATGGAACAAAGCCCACCGGCATGCAAGGCGCGTGGAAGAGGTTGGCTAAACCGTGTGCTGCCCACCCAATCCTCTGGAACCCTGTGCTGAAGACTAGCAACAAGCCAGCAGACCAGGAAGCAGTGCTGTGAACCTGCCAACTCCGCAGCCTGGCAAAACAGGTGTGAGAAGCGCCGGGCATGATGCAATCAAGAAAGGACACACCCACCTGCAAATGCTGCGCCCCGGATGGTGACAATCCAACTCCGGGGGGTCAAAATTGGTTCAGGTACGAACAATAACACAAAGTGCAAGTGTCCGTATGTGTATCTTTGTGCAGGTGCTTGCGATGCGCACCGAAGAGTGCCAACCTCTACCACATCACGCACTGCCATTCACAACGCCCGAGGTTGCAAACACATGTACACGTATCAATGCTCGACTTGGACAAACACATTTCAGATACACGCAAGGATCCTGGTCTTTGGGCATCCTCCCGTTTTTGTTTTTTTTGGGGGGTGGGGGGAGGACGGTGGCCGGGGCCGGCTTGGGGCGTTTCCAGGTGCCGTGCTGGGTGCCGGAGCCGCAGGTGCTGCTGCAGGAGCCCCAGGCCTGAACCTTCGCCACGTGGCTGCGATCGAGGTGGGGCGGCGGGTGCCATCGAGGTGGGGCGGCAGGCGGGGGAGGGGTGGAGGGGGGGCCATAAGAATGGTGCGAAGTGGAACGGGGGGAAGGGGCCAGGGTTGATGGTTGCTGATTGGAATTTTGATCTTGAGGCTTGTTGATGGTTGCTGCCTGGGTAAATGGGTGCACCAAAATAGGGAAGATCCATTTTGTGTGGCTTCCTTTTGCCACACACAATCCATTTCTTTAAAATCCCTCCTCCAGCGGAAAAAAAAGCTCCAGGATCCAAGTACCAAAATCATCCAGCCGCTGTTCGCTTGATTTAGGGGCAACTAATAAATGTGGGCGAGTTAGTACGCAGCAAAGGCAGGTGATGCCCGGAAAGTGCGCAGCAATAATAATAAAATCCAGGCACCCTTGTTCGGTCGGCTTTCAAGGAAAAGCTATTGGCGCTAACTACTGTGGTTTGCGGAGCAGAATTGAGGAATCTTTGGAGTAACAGAAGACACCATCTAAGAAATCACTGAAGCCTACCTGCAGTTGAACCAAGTTCAATTTCTAGGAGCATCATGTGCAAATCGATCAACACTTTTCCCCAGAACGCAGCCGTCCATCACTTGGCCTAACGCGTCCCCCAAGCCACGCCTGCCAGCTGCAGTTGGAAAAGTCGCTGCAGGACTCATCTGGGCGGCGCGCAGATTGACCTTCTATACCTGAAAAGTCCTTCTGGCCAACAATGCATAGCAAACCAGACCCGCTATTTGATCTGGGTTGCATAGGTAGCAAGAAGGGGGCAAACAAGCACACATATTGTGCATGCCTCTTTTTTGCTTCCAGAAAGAGTTAAAATACAATATGGTTTGTTCGACACCCAGTAATGTAGGGCAGGATGCAGGAATGAACAAAGGAAATTAAAGGAGGGGCAGACTACTTGTTCTCGTGAGTTGACAAGGAGGCCGAACGGCAGTGCTGCGTGGTCACAATTGAATGACATCTTCTTCATCGTATTCAGCTCCTACGTTCTCTTCTTTCCTTTGGAAGGAGCCATCCCAGGCAATCTCGGGCAACTTCAAGGGCTTTCTTGCGCTCTCGCGCAAATTGGCCTCCGCGACCCTGAGCGTTTCACGAATGGATGAGGCTGAAATCAAGGACACTTTTTCCTGCCTATGGCCTCAAAGCCTCAGCTTCAGCTGGGGTTGTGAGACCACCCAATGCATTGTTTCAGCTACAAGCAGTGCGTCAGTAGATGCTGTTTGTTTTGCTTCTTCTGGACAGAACCCAGTTGATACAGTTTGTTTGGCCTTGCAAACCCCAAAAGGGGGAGCATGTAGATGTGAAGCTCCCGCGTCGTGCTACGCGATCCCTCTCTTTGAGGCATCCTATCCTCATGCACTATGGAAACTCGTGGTGGGCAAGTCGGAATAGCTTGCCCATCATCCTGTCGTAGCTGCTCCAATGATTGGCAAAAACCTGACACGTGGTCCTTGCACAATGGCCAACCAATTAACAAGGCAGCCAACAACAGGAAACAAACAGGCGGCACCCAAAACCAGGTGACGCTTGGTTCTACTCATGAATTCTAAAACCCCTCAGCTTGTCCCGCTAAACCAGGGAGTAGAACCCGCTTCTAGCAAGTGGGCCTTCCGCCCTGAGGACTAAAACCAAACCTTTGACAAGTTCAATGGACAATTGCGTAGCTTCCATAAGCGATCCACCAAAGAACACCCATGAAATGGCCCTGCGAGGGTGTACAAACTACCGATTTTCCTGCGTCTCGTCTGTAATTATGTAGATAAAGCTTCCTGATAGGCCAGGGAGAAGAACACAATTCTCGGACATGGGAATGTGTGAACATCGGGCGGCCCGATCCAAAAGAATGGTGATGTCACTTGCGTTTTCCCTCTAAACTAAGTCCCAAAAGGGTTATTTAATGATTCAATGAAACCAAACACCCTGCAGGTTTATGATGTGCTGCAATGGCACTTGTCCAATCATTGACGTCCTAAGTCCGTCACACGCCCAAATGGCCAGCGACGGGCGAACGGAGCTCCAGGCTGCCCCGCTGGCCAAAGGCGCGGCGCCGGCGCAATCCTCCGAGCGCACGGAGGAGCACTGCACGCTGCGATGCCTCGCAAGCCGAAAGTGGGAGGGACGTTTTTTTTTTTTGGGAGGGGGTGGGTGGGTTGTTGGGTGTATGCAGGGAGTGTTGGGACTAGAGGGTGGGCAAGAGGTTTGTACTCGCTTTTTGGTTGTGGCAGGTGTTGCGTTTCCAGGGGGTTGCAGCATGCTCAAGAATACACATCTATCCCAGTTAGAAAACATTGACCCTTTGACTTAACCCTGCTGTTCAGATTCTGCCACGCCAAAAGGAACTTCACGTCCAAGTTCAGATAAACGCGAAATGATTTGCCGAGAAAAAAGTGTTTCCAGGTCAGGGAGCGTCAGCGTGGGTAAGGCCATTTTTGCTTCCAAGTGAGCTTGCCATAAGTTGTGCGGAAATGAAATCATACTGAAAGACTGAAAGTCCATAAAACATAGAGTTCCCTGGGGATCCTGTCGGACAATATCGTACCGTCTAATAGCTACATGCAAACTTTAGCAACGAGTGCTTGTTTTTTCCACGCTGCACATTGCCTCTATTGACTGTACTGGTTTGAACGGGCCCGCTATCTGTCTGATAATCGCCTCTACGAAACACGAAGATTTGCTATAGTCAGACTGAGCGTGCAAGTTCATCTGCTGCAAAGCATATGGCCTCCATACAGCAGCCTGTAATTGCTCACTCACCATGCAACACGCTGAATCAAAGATGCAGATGGGAAACTAACACCTGGATACCAACTGTATGAGGAACAATCAGAACCGCCCCCCCACCAACCCACCCACCCAACCCAACCCAACCCAACCCAACCCAACCCAACCCAACCCAACCCAACCTAACCCAACCCAACCCAACCCACCAAACCCACCCACCCACCCACCCACCCACCCACCCACCAACATACACACACACACTAACATATTATATAGACGCACAAACACACACTCGAGCGGGGGGCGGGGTTCCAATATTGGTCGAAGACTCTGCAGGCGTGCCAAACGGAGAACACTTGTATAGTAGGGTTGGGTTTCAAGTGTTGTGTTACGCAAGTATACCGCGCATGATGTGTTGAAAGTGAAAACATGTGAGAGTTGTACCCACACCCTGGTATCAAAGGAGTGTGTCCTCATAAACGACTGTTGGGGGTATTTCCCGCTAGCTAATCCAATGGCCCGGCCTTGATTTTGGCTCGCCTATGGGCCAAGCGACGACGACATCTCAAGTAGATCTTTCCGCCTGTCACCGGCACCACATAGGTTCGAGCAGCTCGACCAATCACTCGCGACCTCAGCACAAGGTTGGTGGCAGCGCAAGCAGCTATTGCCAGCATGTCCCTTGTCTTTATCATGATTTCTGGGTAGCTCTGCAAATTTGAATGGGAAGGCAAGCCAAGTGGGGCGGGTAGTGGAAGGCTATGGTAGACTAGTACTGGGAGACCCCACACATAGGCATCTTGCTATTCAACATGATCCCCGCCAAAAAAACACCAAAAAACAAAAACAGTCTTTTGCTGAGTTTTGCTTCTGAAAGTTCGACAATGGATGGTTGCGCAATCTGGGAAAATGCTTGCCTCCCTACTCAGGATTCATAACTCCTGCACCACTACATGCATGCACCCAAGCAACCTAAGTGCAAACAACAATAAGTAATGCACACAACTGGGTCCCGTAAGAACAGGAACAGCAGAACATACGGAGGACATAAATCTCAGCTGCCGGACAGCTGCGCTCCTCTGGTCTTTGACAAGCACTACGTCACCTTCAAATTCTCCAGGGAGAACACGATAATGCAATGAAGAGCCTTTATCCCAAAGGGGCTACACACCCATTAGGCTTCAAACACATGGAACCGCGGGGTCCCCCTCAGTTCCATGTGGACCGGAATGTACCTCAAGGGCCCGGGTTCTGGGCTTCCCCTGCCCAAATGCAGCCCCTGGTGGCGCGACAGGGCTGCTCCTGGCGCGGAAAGATCGAGTTACTGCAAATTACCCTCATGGAACCTGACAGCGGAAAATGGTCTTCCAGGACCACCCTGTCAGGTTCCATGTTAATTGGTGGGAGGGTATCTACCTTGCTTGGTCTAAAGTACAGGGTTAGGGGGGAAAATGTCTAGACACTTGTGTTGTCCTGCTACCGACAAAGAGAGATGCGTAAAACCTGGCTCCTTCATGGAAACTCAACGGTCTCCATAAACTATCGCACAACGCAGTGCTAAGAAAATCCGTGCACGTGTTGGCGGGTGCTTGCAAAACCTGCAGCATCCACTGAAAAGGGACCCCTTCAATCCAATCTAGCTGGAACAGTGGGATTTCCCTACAAGAGTTCATGGTTGATGTTTAATCTGAGTCCAGAGTTTCTCCACGGATGCACATCCCAAAACCAACTGCTTTAAACCAGGATTCGGAGCCTCATCAGCTAAGGCGTCCCCCCCCCCCCAACACACAAAAACAAACAACCAAAAACCGCATGGGTTCCTGTTTGTCCCCCTTAAAAATTTGCCACAAAACAACGGGGCAGCCCAACCAAAAAAAATGAGACGACCGACCTGTGCCTCTCAACCAACTTTTCGAGATCTGGCCTCCTTGGGCTTCCAGCTGCTGTGGCACCCCCTCTGCGGGCACGAGACCTCGATGAGGGGTCCGGCGGGTTTTTGGCCCCCGAAAATGGCCGGGGTCCTTTGGAAGGTCCCTGGAACCAATCAGAAAGAGGTACACCATGTTGAGAGACACTTTGTCCCTTCAAACAATTTTAAAAAGGGGTTCGGGTTCCTCGTCTGATGGATGGACTTGCATCACCGATTCATGTTGGCTTCCCTTGAACCAGTCAGAAGGGGTTTATCATGTGGAGAGGTCCATGTTGAGAGACTCTCATTGATGCCCAGGCTTCCCCATGTCCATCTGGAAGGAGGTTCCCCTCCTGAAATTCATAGCCATTTGGATGTGTATTTTCTTTGGAGTGCCCCTTGTTGGGGTTGGTTTGAAGGGAAACCAAAAGGACAATTAACATTTACCAGGGGTTCCTCATTCAAATTTATTCTGCCTGAGCAAAAACCATAAACAAAGCAGACTAAGCCAAGCCCAAAGAGTTATATAGCTCGGAGCCTTCCAGGATGAATCAACATGCACCAATCTGAAATGAAGGTTCCCTGAGCAACAACTCTCAGGTTTTCAGGTGGCCAACCGGTTTTAATTTCTACCTTACCAAAGCGAGTTGTTTCCACGACGGTTTTCTCCACGTGCAAGAGGTTCCTCTGCACCCCGTTTCCGCAGCTTATGAGTGTTTGTCTTCAAAATAGGGGCCATTCTTAGGGTGGCGTTCCAGATTCCCAAAAGGAAACATTGCCACCATTGACAAACCACCTACTAAGTTGTTATGAAGGCCAACTGGGGCCGATTCGCTCACCATGGGTTTAGACGGTGCTTCGCTCATCACTTTAGCCAAGGGCAAAGACGAATAAGCAACCCAGCCCCCCCCAAAAAAAAGAAAAACATGGCCCTCCTTAAAGATGACTTCACACCTTGACCCAGGTCTACCGCCTCCCCAGCGGCGGCTTTTTCTCCGCGCCTCGCGGCGCTGCACGCCCCCGTCGCCGCAGTTGTCTGGCACGCCCTCGCAGGCGCCCCAAGCGCCCACGGTCCAAATGGACGCCTCAGAACCCCAAGGAACGAGTCTCAAGATGGGAATTATCATGCCTTTTTTTTGGCAGGTGGACAAGGGTCTGCCCATGGACTGTGTGTGTAGAAAATGTTACATGTTGATGCGGGTGGTGGGAAACAAGGATATCCATCATTGTGCCTGTGAAGTCTGAAAGGAAGCCATCCCCAACAAAGGGACAAAGGAGATTCAGCCCACTTCCATTTGCATAAGAAACCAAGAAGTTTGGCACCGTGTTTTCGTAGCTGTTGTTATTCCAATCCCGGTTGTTGTTATAGTCGTAGTCGTTCCAATTCTCCTCCATTTAATTTATCTCGTGTTGTTCTTCTTCTCTTTCGAAGTATTAGTCTTACGTGTCGTTTACATATTGAGGTAGTTCGGAAAGCGATTACGGGTTGACACGTTGCTTTGAGTGCTAACTTTCTTCAGGGGTTACAAGAGCACCCAAAAACAACGAAAGAAAGAAAGAAAGAAAGAAAGAAAGAAAGAAAGAAAGAAAGAAAGAAAGAAATACAAAAAAGAAAGAAAGAAATAAAGAAAGACAGAAAGAAAGAAAGACAGACAGAAAGAAAGAAAGAAAATAAAGAAAGAACGAAAGAAAGAAAGAAAGAAAGAAAGAAAGAAATAAAGGAATAAAGAAGACAGAAACAATAAACAAGAAACAAACAGATAAAGAACGCAACAACGAAATAAATAAATGAAGAAAGCAATAACTAAATTAATAAATAAACAATGCAACAAAGATACAAGTAAATAAAGAAAGCAAGAAATAAATACATCAAGAAACAAGGACGGAAATAAATAAATAAAACAATACGGACCAGACCAAAAAACACGAGCGAGCAAGTAAACACACACACACACTGGATGGAGGGATTGGATGGACGTGAGTGTTATTTGAGCTGCATGGACCTGTCGCCGAAGCACCACTGCTTGGGCCTGCAAGCCCGGGAGATTCCCGTGCTGGCAATCCTCAGGGACGCCATCTGCCTCGAAGCTTTCGAAACCCCGTGTCGCATCGAAGGTGTCCGCCTCATTACCCCTGGCTTTGCCCTTGGCTACCCGCCCTTCTCGTTCTGCTGCCGCTGAATACTGCCATGCGCCTCCTGTGCGCTGGTTGAAGAGACTGCATCATCGATTGCGGATATCTGTCCGTAGCAACAAAGCCACCGCTTCTGGAATGAAGCCAACACCCGCAATTGCAATGCTGCCCAAAGAACAACAATCAGGACCACAACACCCGAAAGATCCAAAAACCCTTCTCAACCTGACACAAAGATCGGATTGGTCATGCCGATGCGCAGGGTTCGCAATATATCTCCTTAGCCGACCAACCGAAAGGGATCAGACGTTACATCTATGTTTCAGAAAGTTTATGTGACTTACACGGGGCATCTCGTTGAATCCCGGTCACGCGTCATGTTTTCATCTTTTGGCCTTTGAGCCCGGGGCACGATTTGCCACCTTCTTGGACAAAAAAGGGATCCTAGCCAAGCCGTCGCTAGCTTGCAGCCTTGCCTCTTGACCCCCACTAAGGTTCTACAAACACGGCCTGATCAGCTTTAGCAACCACCCATTCTTACCAAACCCGGGGAAAAATCCGGGCAAACGTCTCAGGCTTCAAACGGAAAACACAATACCTTCTGCAATTAGCCCCTTTGGGCACCCGCACACAAGCATAATTATCACCAGCACATACACATGCTTCATAATTTACCTCAGTTTACAACCCCTCACTGCTGCCCTGGCTTCAGGCCGGCTACCACTTGGGTTCCGCGCGCAGCGTGGAGCATTGGTCCACAGCCCTTCCAAGCTGCAGAGATGGCCATCTGGCGCTTGCGCCAACCACTGCTTGTTGGACAGCACTCACGGCTTTGGACGCCGGAACACAGTCATGGAAGGGTGCTGGTTCTAAGCCTGCCCTGATTCTAGCGCTTCATCTTGTGACTGGACACCTGGGAAAGAAATGGCCCCAAAGTGCGCGGCATGAGCACCTGCCTCAGCGTGTAGCTGAAGTGGGCTGATCCCAACCATCCTTTTCACATGTGCTTGAACTAGCCCAGTATCTTTGAGACCGACTGACATTGTGGACAAGCATGTAATTAATTACCAAGAAAGAATGGGTGACATAGTGTGGTGACAATCCAAGCGGGATCAGCCACCTGCAAGATAATGTTAAGCCTCATTTGATAATACTCGTAGGGTGTGATTTGTGGAGAGGTCTTCCCCGTCAAGCAGAATCAGGGACGGCTTAGGGGTCCGGGATTACAAACAGTTTTTTCCCGCAAGAAACAAACTGAGCCCATGTCCCCTTTCACATCGTCTCAGATCTTCTACTTCTAAGGGGTGCTTAGCTTGGCCCTTCAGCCCAAGCAGTGTCAACAGACAAAAATTTTTTTTGGTAGGATCTGGGTTGGGCTTGAGTTTGGCAATACTAAACTAAGTACTGGCAATACTGAATTTGCTATTGGCCATACTAGTATTGCCAATACTGAATCTAGTATTGCCAGTATTGCCAGTGCACATTTGGGAATTCCAGCGCGCCCACTGTAAGCACTATGATTCCCAGTTTTGTTTGAGGTCTAGATTTTGGAAAGCGGGTCCTAGATGAACTTGGGACTCGCAGCCTGCCTGGCAGGTCTGCATGGCGTCTTTAGACCAAATCGCACATGGAGGGTACTGGAATACTGGAATTTTATACAAGACTAGCTGGACACTGGAGTCTTAGGTGACTTAGGTGACTGGCAGATTGCTTCACCTTCGACACACCGGAGACGTCTTCCACGGACTTCAGGCGTCAACTTCACCACGCCTCCCTCTGGCAAGAAGCCCACATCGCAGGGCACGGCGCATGGCTCATCCGACCTCAGCGTGGTTTCTCACAAACGTCAACGCGCGAAGCAAAATCTGTCAATGGGACAAGGGATGTTTTGTTGCCCAGAAATCCTGGCCAAACCTGGACCTTGGCTGAGCCTGGCCTGGTACCGATTGCTTTTCAAGCACTCTCTGGCCCCTGTCGGGTCCCTTTTTGAAGCGGAACTGTCAGTGATCCATGATCGGGAACTGTGCACATGGTACAACACTGAGGAAACAGCTGCTGGTACACAAAGGCTCTGGACCTGATGCAAATCGCATCCCGTAAAACAAATCACCAAGAGCTGTGAATTCTTGATTGAAATCTGGCTTTCCGGGTTCTATCTGTGTTGGTAGCCGCTCAATCTCAGAAGGGCTTCACCTACTCTGCTGTTCAACGGATCAGACAGGATTTGGACTGGCTTTAACACTTCCACGTCCACGTATTTATGATGATCTGGATACTTTCCTTCACATACGACGTGTGTAGAACTGACTCTTTGCCGGGCTCAAACGCAGACCGTTGCACCACTGCGGCTTTCACATTCGCACTCCCACAGCTCGTATAAAAGAACCCCTGAACTTAAATGCTCAAAAACTGCTTCGTCTTGAAGGTGGAAAGGTGCCCACACCAAACGACAAACAACAGACAAGTGACAACCAGGATACTGATTATGTGTGTCCGAATAAGTTCGACCGGTCTGAATGTGCCCCCTCCCTGGTTCACTGTTGCCATTAGGGATTTTCCGAGCTCGGTTGAACACACAAACTTCTTCTAGAAGGAGATGAGCCCAAAGGAGCTCGGTTGAAACACAATAATTTGAATTGGAGGTGACATTTTAAGCCACAAAAAGGCTCCAGATGCCGAGCCCCGCCTTGGTGGCGCAACGGGAACAACGGGACCGAATGCCCCAAAGCATCCAGGCGCCCTCGCCAGCTCCGGCCAAAGCAGCTGTGCTCCGACCAGTTGGTGGCGGAGTTGGCCACCGGCCTAGGCCGCAGGCCCCGAGTAGCAGCAGGTGTCAAGAAGCTCTTCAAAGCCTGCCTTTTCACATTTGATTGCCACAAATCAAGTCGCCTCTGTGTCCAGGGTGGTTCGGAATGCGCGCTCGACCATAAGCCTGGATTTGCCCATCGCATGGCTTCCTTCAAACGTTCTGCTTCCTGGGACCCAAATATCATGAAGCATTCAACAAGGTTGTTCATTCGTTTCCTTTCGCCCAAGGCAAAGATTTGTTGCCCAAACATGGAACTTGCGCAAAGGTCACCTTAAAAAGGAAGATGGTATTCCAGGAACCTTGATGAAGGTTCTATGTTTGATTTTGCGAGGGTAACAAAACAAACTGTTGGACTCTTAAGCTCAAAAGTCGGCGATGATCCCTGCCCCGCCCCCCGCGCCCCGGCCCCTCTGATCTCGTGAAATCCATGGATCATATTCGGGGCTGTTTCTTTGGAGTGGGTGCCACGTTCCACCCCTACTAAAACAAGGCACGCCCATATTGATAGAGGCATATCCTTTTGGGGACAAAGGGTTCCAAATGAATTTCAGTTGCGGGCAAGCAAAACCTTGCATTTTTTGCCTCCTTTGCCCTCTGGACTGGTTGAATAAGGCATGCATGAGCTCAATGCAATCATGGGTCAGCAAAAGCACAGCACCTAGACAACCGACGATCTGCTAAACACCACGCAACCGCATAATATCGAATACCAAAAAAAACACATCATTCATGTCATCAACAGCAGCAACCTCCTTCCAACGAGTGAGTTACCAGCTCAAGAAAATCAAAGGGAAGACCACTCCGAGGCCCTTGTCAACAGGCACAAATACATAGCTGCAGGGAAAGACAAGAAACAAACAAACACGCAATAGATCGAATCAAGCCAGGTAAGACAGACACTTGCGGTAAAGCCATGTAGGCCACTCAAGAAACAACGTGGGGTCCTCACCTCAATGATCGCGACCTGTTCCAGCATTTAAACATGACCTGCTTTGACAGACATTTGCTTCAAGCTGGGCTTCAAAAGGCAGAAGACAAGCACCCTTGAGATCACCAGTCCTTGCATTCAGCAAGTAACCTGCTAAATTTCAAGGTGGCCTGCATTCGCCCTGATCAAGCGGGGCCTGATCAAACGGGGCTAGGTAGCCATGATTTGCTCCAAAATACCTACTCCGCTACTATGCCTTTTTGTTTGGTCTTTTTGTTCGGTAATCTGCTGTTGAATCCATTTCCCTCTCTTTACCCCGCGTGGCCCTCTACGCGCCGGACGGTGGGTCTGCGCAGGGCGCAAAGGCCTCGCTACGCCGCGTGAGCTCCGGAGGCTCGGTGACCTGCATGGGAAAGGCATAGCAAGCCTGAGGACAGCTTCCGGGGTGATGGTCGGAATCGGGGTAAGTGGTGGCTACTCCTCCAGTCCCGGTCTGAATCCCCGGGTCAAGTGCGTTCAAAAGGCCCAAGTATCCAAAGAACCCTCCCGCAAGGTTCATCTCAGCAAGGCCTTCTGAGGGAATCAGACCATGCCACAGGTGTACCATGGAGCAAGGTCCAATCTTGACTATTATAGATTTTTTGCATGTGGGAGGAGAGTTCAAGCCGCGACCAAAACCTCGAACATCAGATCATCATGTAAGTAATCACTAAAACAGCGACCTCTAAACTGAAATGATAGTCCTCGTTGGCTCACTAGTCCCTGTCGACACCGATGTGTAAACAGGGTTTTCTACCAACCTCCAAACCAGTACCCAAGGCAAACACAAAAGGGTCGAGTATTAACCCTTTGTCTAATGGTTGATGTACTTGTTCAAGCTTGAGTGTATTGTCTGTGCCTTCTCCACGAGTTGTGTGGTGGTTACGCAAAATCAATTGAGCCCCTTGGTCTTCTAGCCATGAACAGTCACAAATGCCTGGACACAACAAGAAAAAAATATCAAACAACAAACGGCCTCATTGTGGACAATTCATAATGCTTCGCCGGCTTCACACATGGACCCCTAAAATGCCACATTCATTGTGGAGTCGTTTAAATCCGGGCGATGAGCTCGCCCTGCGCGCTTCGGCCCGTCAACGTCCTGAACGCATGGCCTTTCGAGTTGGGCCATAGAGTGAATGATGGCAGATTTAAACCTTTACTCTGCCTAGTTGCAACACCTGGAGTGGAAAGACAGCGGACTGGAACTCAAGATGTGGCTGGGAGACGGTGCGGGAATCATAGCTTAATGATGTGCACTTCGGGTTCTGTGGAAAGGCCCGGAGTCAATGTCCACTCAAACAACAAGTCCACTTCCTCTATTAGGGAATTATGTAGTTGGTCCGGCCAGAGAAGCAGTGGCAAAGCCAACTATTATATTAGCTGCAAGTTCTAAATACTGAAGCAATACCTTCTACATGCATTAACCTGCAGCAAGCGCGACTGGCTCCTCATGCTCTGTTTGATACGAGACCGTGCCAGTGCCAACAAGTGCACACTAACAAGTGCGAGACACAACGAAGCTGACCAAGAAATGATTGCGACGCCTTGTGCTTGCACGTTTGGTCAGAAGCATCGATGCGGTCTACACTGCCTCGAACAT